TGGTCTGCATAGGGGGTGATGGTTCCCTGACAGGCTTGAATATATTCAAAGAAGAATGGGAATCATTTACTTCGGAGCTGCTCAAAGCAGGTTTGTCTCGGATTAATTAGGAAGCGTTGCTGTCAAACAAAATTCACTTATCACGAATATTCATGTCGAAGCATGACAAAATTGTGGCATGTGCAGGCACTACAAATAAGACCTCGAAGGTTCCACGTGTCTCTCTTTCAGTGCGGAGCCCGCCCTCCCACTGGGGGCCGGTGTCGGGGGAGTGGGGGAAGGTTATGGGCCGTGCATCAGCCAACTCTTCTTGGCACCCCCTTTACGTCCGCGTTCTTTTGCGCAAGCGACAAGATTTTTATCATACCGTGGTGTGTATCGGTTGTTTCCCATTAATGGGCTGGCTTTAAAGACAGCTCCCGCGATAAAAGTCTCATGGATAGCTGCTTCCCAATTATGAAACAGCAGCCGATAAGTAATCTCCCAAAGAAGAAAAGTGGCAAGAAGCGTTCTCCAGAACAACATAAACAAAATCGCTCCCTCACAGTTACACCTCCCTGCGGTCTCTGTGCAGCCCCTAGCTCACAATCTCTCTATCACATCTCGCAGTAGTTGATATCATCTAGTGCAAAAGAAAGAATACAAAAAGAAAACAACAAAAACGCAGAGGAAAAACTCTGGGAAGGAAAAAGGAATTTTATCAACACGGTGTCTGAATTTGTGGTTAGGCTTCAGGGACATTTTGTGCGTCGTGGTTTTGCATCACGAAAATTGCGTCACTCGTGTTTTTTACGCGTTTACCTCGCGAAATGGGTTGAATTGAATGTATATACCTCCAATGAGTGAACATTGTAATGAAGGAGAGCAGAATTATCCAGGGGCATTAGCAATGCCCGCCGCCCCAACTAAGAACAAGTGAGTGGCCTCCGTCGGAGGACATCTAGCAAGTAAAGGCGGTCCGACTGAGGAGGAGTTAGAACTAGCACTTTGAGCGGCTATAGCAGCCTCCACGCTCACATAAGTCCGTCGTAAAGGTGAACAGTCTTCTAGCTTGGGAGGTAGACTACTTGAACAGCCAAAAGGCGGACCAACGAAAGACTCTTTGATCAGCGGAGGGCTGTCTTGAACCGCCGCAACATACACTGCTTGCGCAGGGGCTGCACGCCACGTCACCCTTCATCAGCAGCGGCAAGTAGCCGCTAAGAAACGAAATAACTTGTTGGAAAAGTAACAAATAACTCATTCTTTATCTTGTGGGCGTTGCATAAATTCATCACGAAAGGAGGGAGCAAACGAAAACAGTGGAGAAAGAAGAGAGAGATGCGAAGGAGACCAGAAAGGATGTTCACGATGGTCGTTGCAGCTTTCGGGGCGCTGTTGTTGAGGTGGGTTGAAATAAGAAGAGGCGAACTTTACTCCACTCCTCCCCCCCCCTCCCCCCCCCCCCTGCCTCCCCTTTCCCTTCATTTTCCCGCTCCTCACGCCTATGGCTTCTCCAGCAGCACAAAGTCTGGCACTCGCAATCTAGGTGACCAGACTCCAGGCAATGACCGTGAGAACATCTGGGAAGATTCCACGGAGGATTAAAGGGCTGAGCCCGGCATTTCGACATTTGGATGAGTTACTCGCGGCCTCAAATACTTATAACAACAGTGGGCAGTAAACCTAGTTCCAAGAAAAATCAGACAGAAATCATAGCAAAGGCTGTATATAGAACCCCTTGCCTTAATTTGAGGTTGCAGTCTCAATCGATGTTTCATGGCTTGAACATCGATTCGCTACGAAAATTCTGACGACCAATCGGATCGTTTGCCGATTGAGAAGATGTGGTTCAACTCCAGCTTTGACAATCTTCATCGCCTACAACATGGAGCTACGACGAGGATGAGCTCGAAGCGTTCTATATGGAATTGGAGAAGTTCTACAAAGAAGATCATACCTTCTTCAAGGTCATCGTCGGTGATTTCAACGCTAAGATCGGACCAAGAAGAACGGCTGAAGAACTTCACATCGGAACTCACGGAACGGAGTGGAATGAGCAGGGTGAAAGGCTGTCTGAGTTTATCATGTCGACCCACACCATCCATGGTAACTCGCAGTTCCAGAAGCCCTACTCTCTACGCTGGACATGGGAGTCTCCTGGTGGACAATTCCATAACGAGATCGACCACATCATCTTCAATCGAAGGTTTTGCCTGACCGATGTCGCTGTTGTTCCCAAGTTCTACACAGGATCCGACCACCGTCTCCTTCGCGCGAGATTCCGCTTTTCGATGCGAGGAGAGAGAGCCGCAAAGTTCAAGAAGCGAAGCCCCAAGACCGTCATCAACTGGGATCACTTCACTTCTCTCGCTGGGCTCTGGGAGGATTCCGTCATCGACAACATCGACGAGGAATACGAACGGCTTGTCGCACACCTTCACGACTGCGCCAAGATTACCAAGAAGCGTCTATCTCTGGAAACTCTCGAGCTGATTCGCCAACGTGGAGCCGCACGAGCCGCAGGCAATTACCAGCTGACGTCTGAGCTTGCGAAGCTATGCAGAGAAGCGATAAAGGAAGACCTCAAGGAGAGAAGAGCAGCAGTACTGGTGGAAGCCGCAGAGGCGGGGAAGAGCATCCGCAAAACCCGCCGCGACTTCGCCAACTGCAAGACCAAGATGACCGCCCTCCGACGTCCGGACGGAACAATCACCGCATCCAGAAGGGCAATGGAGAAGGTCATCCACGACTTCTACTCGGATCTCTTTGACAGCCACGTCCACCTGCCACCATACCGCTTGGAGCAGGATGGATACGTCGTTCCTGCAGTTCTCCCTTCCGAAGTCCGACACGCCATCTCGTCGGTGAAGAATCGTACGGCACCCGGTCCAGGATCAGACCCGAACATCTGAAGAATCTTCCGCCAGTTCTCGTCAAAACTCTGGCTCGACTCTTCACGCGCTACCTGTCGGAATGCAAGGTACCCACCTCGTGGAAAACCAGCAAGACTGTGTTGCTGTACAAGAAGGGAGACCTGTACGACATTGGCAATTATCGCCCAATCTGCCTGCTGTCTGTAGTCTACAAACTTCACACGAGTCATCCTGAACAGGATTGGCAGAACACTAGACGAAGGACAGCCATGCGAGCAAGCAGGGTTTCGAAGAGGATTCAGCGACGATCACATCCACACGGTAACGAAGCTCATTGAAGTATCGCGAGAGTACAAGATGCCGCTATGTCTCACGTTCATCGACTTGAAAAGCCTTCGACTCCGTTGAGACAGAAGCGGTTATCGAAGCCCTGGGCAACCAGGGTATTCCTACTCAGTACATCAGGATTCTTCGTGAGCTCTACAGCAACTTCACGACCAAGATCTCACCATTCTACAAGGAGATCATCATTGATGTGAAGAGAGGGGTCCGACAGGGCGACACCATCTCGCCCAAGCTCTTCAGCGCCTCTCTCGAGAACGTCATGCGTCAACTGGAATGGGAAGACATGGGAGTGAAGATCGACGGTCGGCAACTACACCATCTCCGCTTTGCTGACGACATCGTTTTGATAACACCAAACATCGAGCAAGCGGAACGAATGCTGGCTGAATTCGACTGCGCGTGTGGAAAAATCGGTCTACGGCTGAATCTAACGAAGACGATGTTCATGAGAAACGGATTGGTTTCTGATGCCCCATTCACGCTCAACGGAACGACCATCTCTGAATGCTCTAGCTATGTGTACCTGGGTCGTGATGAACGACTTAGCACCAGAGCTGAGCAGGAGGAAGCGAGCGGCTTGGGGAGCCTTCAAGAACATCGAGGGAGTAGCGAAGAAGACGAAGAACACCAAGCTCCGTGCCCACCTCTTCGATTCCGCGGTCCTTCCTGCCTTGACGTACGCCTCAGAGACTTGGACTCTACGAAAGCAGGATGAGCATGCGGTCGGCGTTATTCAACGCGCCATCGAAAGGGCGATGCTCGGAGTTTCCCGCTACACGCAAGTGAGAGAGGGAATCCGGAGCTCCGCACTCCGCCGACGATCGAAGATCAGAGACGCCGCCGCATTTGCCAAGGTTTCGAAGATCAGGTGGGCCGGCACGTCATGCGTTTCGAGGACGACCGCTGGACCAGAGCGATCACCGACTGGATTCCACGGGATGTCAAGCGAACGCCTGGACGACCGCCTATGCGATGGTCAGACTTCTGAACGAATGGTATGAAGTTCATCGTGTCCCTCGAGCAGAGAGAGTCCATTGGGCAACTCTTGCACGTTGCAGGGACGAATGGAGACGTTACTGGCGCCCGCTCGAGGAACTCGATGATCAACGGGAGCACAGGCACAGGTGATACGTGCTCAAGGCGAAGAGAAAGTGCGGTCGCACGAGTTCTCACTTGTTGATATCAGCTGTTTTCCCTTATCACCTCACTCTCACCACTCGACGTGGAGAGAAGCAGCAGCGAAACAACCGCACCATCAGGTAACCATTAGAAATGAATGGAGGGCGGTGCCAATGATTGTAGGTTGGGCCAATGAGAAGAACGACGGCATCGTGGGCCTCCTCACTCGTTTTTGCGCCGCGAAAGTGGTGTAGTTGTTGCCTCTGCGGACCTGACTACCTGCTCACGAAGGGAGAGGAAAATCTCAACTGAACGCGGACGCTGCCTTTAAGCATTGCCACTAGCTTTATTCGTAGTTGGCGCAGTTACAAGACCGGTACTATGTAAAAACAATAAGCTTGGGCTTAAGAAGAGACGCGCTCTCCAAACACTGTATAAGTTCTTTCAATATTGCAGGAACTATAACTAAAGAGCAAGCAGAAAATGGGAAACATCTGAGTGTCGTTGGCATTGCAGGGTGAGTAGTTTTGCCGAATGGAGAACCTGAGCTACCGAAGAACGATAAGGGTATTCAGACGTTTGTGCAAATTCCCTGTGTATGTCGAGGGCGTGGCTTCGCGCTGAATATCTGAGTGAACGCAACCTACACTTTTGTTCTATCTCGTCTCAATAAGGCCCAAAATGACAATGAACTTTAGAACGATTGACAATGATTTCTTCGGGACCGATCGCACAATCGGTTTCGACTCGGCAATGGCTCGCGTCACGGAATGCGTGGATAACCTCACAGTTACGGCTATGAGCCACCACAGAACATTCATAGTTGAGGTGTGCTTTTCCTTATTTACCAGTTACTAATTAAGGACTACGGCGAAAGCATCCATGACTACGATTAGAGAGGTTTATCTATTTCTATGATCAGGTCACGAGCCACGAATGTGGAACTTTGGCTCTTACGGCTGCCATTGCGTTGGAAGCAGACTTTGTTTTTATCCCGGAAATTCCACCTCCTGATGATTGGCCTGATGTCTTGTGTGCACATCTTCACAGGAAACGCAAAGTAGGTTTTGAGGTTGTTCACCATTCACTTGAAATACCGACGCAGTTAAGGTCACATTATACATTGCTCCTATGGAAGGAATGACACCAGCTGTTGTGCCTTTCTGATTGGCGCGTCTTCGCCTTCACCTTCTCATACGGGGAATCCACAATTGTGCACCAGACTCCGCCCACATTATCAGCATAAAATGTAACCTTGAAGGGCATTTCTCATGTGGAGCAGAGTCTTAGCCTTTATTGGAAAGTCACAGGTTTGAGAAATAGATAAATCCCACCTTTGGAGAGGGTGATTCACGGCTTTAGTTGTAAACCTCTGCGGCACAGTGTACAGTCAGCGTACAGCATTGCTGGGA